ACAAAAATTTCGAATTTTTCACTTTCAGTGAAAATTTCAGTGAATAGCTCCTCGATTGTCATGTTCTCCTGATACTTCTACAAAAATTTCGAATTTTTCACTTTCAGTGAAAATTTCAGTGAAGAGCTCCTCGATTGCTATGTTCCCCTGATACTTTTTCAAAAATTTCGAGTTTTTCACTTTCAGTGAATATTTCAGTGAATAGCTCCTCGATGTTCATGTTACCCTGATACTTTTTCAAAAATTTCGAATTTTTCAATTGCGGTGAATACCTACCTAAAGAAAAAATTGGAATTATTTAAAAAAAAAAATGAATGACGGCGGGATCGAACCCGGGCCGTCGGCGTGCTAGCCGAGCACGTTACTTTTTTTTTTTTTTATTTAACATGGTTTTTATTGATGTTACACGTCTTTAATTACATTTGTCATTATTAAAACTAGTCTTAAAAATTTATGTGGAAGATTGTATTGTTTTATAACTTTGGCCATGCAAGGCTCTCGAGTTAACACGATATTTTAATATGTTAATATTATTTTTATTTTAGAACAGTATTTGTATATATGAATGGTTTTTATTCATTTATAATATTATTACCTAGAATGCCCAAAAAAAGAGAGTTAAATAAAAGATTTTACTTTTATTTTGGATTATTGTGAAAAAAGGGCATCGCAGTATTTATCCAGGGTGTTGAGGGGGGAAGAGAAGAGAAAGGTGATGATAGGAATAGAAGAGGGTGTAAAGGGAGAGAAGAAAAAAAAAGGAAAAAGGAAGAGAGAAGTGGGACGGGGGATGGTGGAGTATTGTTATTTTTTAAAGCGTAAATATTAATTGAAGTGGAGGATAAATTCCAACGAGATAGGGGTATGTGTCCTATATTCGCCAGGTTGGTACCGATGCTAACAATAGAGTTACTCAAATGTTGATTTTCAAGGAGGGCGATATCTATGTTTGCTCCTGCTTATATGTCTGTTGTTATTCATTGTTACATGTAAATTCTTGAATATTTTCTATATTTTTTATATTTTGTTAGTAGGATTTTGGTTAGTGAGTGGGCTAAGTGTCGCCATCTATCTTAAGGTTAAGGTGTTCCATTATAGTTTTGATATTATTGGTGTTTATTTTAACTTGCTCCGAGATAGGTGTTAGCTTATTAGTAACAGATTGTATAATAAAGTGGGTCATATTTGCAGCCCAGGGAGGGGGGGTATGAAGTTCCATTTGGTAGGGATTTGTGTCCACATAGGCAGCGCTAGTTGGTACACTATTGGCGGTAGAATTTGAATCGACATTGATTGGGGGGTTTGTTATAATATTATGTGGAGTTTTAGAGCCTCCCGCACGTTCCGCAAACGTGATGGACGGGGAGACTCTATTGGAGATGTTATTTATTTTAGATATTGTAACTTTTTTAGTGTTATTTTTGACTTTTTTGGATAATTCAATCGCTTTTTTGTAATAGGGGCAGCCTTTGTAATTGGCAGGGTGACCTATCTGGTCACAATTAGCGCATTTTAACAATGTTCTATCGACTATTCCTTTAAATTCGCAATCCCCAGGATTATGCGATTTTGCGCATTTCACGCATCTGAATGATAAAGAGCAATTAGAACTGGAGTGCCCGATTCTTTGGCAGTTTTTGCACTGGAAAAGTGAGTTTTTCCTAAGTGGTTCCCACGTTATTTTTTGAAATAAAATAATATTGAATTTAATTAGATTTTTGACTATTGAGTCATTAGAGAGTTGAATTAAAAACGCAAATTTATTGGATATTTTGTTTAATATAATTTTTGAAATTTTAATAATCTTAATATTTGGAATTTTTAAATCGTTTAAGGCGTTAAATATATCAGTTTCATCGAAGTCTCCGTAAAGATTTTTTAAAACTATATTCTTGTTTTTTTCTTCTTTGGGAGTATATGTATAGTATTCTATTTTTTCTCTAGAAAGGATGTCTTTAAACTTTTTGTGAATTGATAAATTTAAAGGGAATATGGAGACGTATTGGGAGTCTTTCGGTTGTCGCAAGTAAAACTTATCCTTGGTTTCTGGGGTCGACAGTAGTTCGGCGATGACCTTCAGTGGTTTCCCTCTTGATTGTATTGGTGGTGGTCGTTGACCCGTTTTGAGTTGATGTTGTGATGCCTCAGCCGTCTGCGATGTGTTTTCCCGAATGTTTTCAATTTCCTTATCGTTCAATCTGTTGATCTCGAATATTTCTTCCTCTGAGTCCGTGAAGGTGAGGGGGGGATCAGCAGTTGTTAGTGTTGATGTGCGATGTTCGTTGGATTTTCTCTGTCGTTTTGCTTTCGGGGAAGTTGACTCGTGAAACCCTGAATTTATTGGTGGATTCTCGGTATTCTCTGATTGAGATTGTATGATGTGGGGGGTGTCCCCTTGTGATGCCATGTTTACAGCAAGTAGATTTTGTTGAGAGGTATATGTAGGAGTAGTTCTACTTCCATATAGTTTTCTCATTTCCAGCAGTTCTTTATCCAGGCGATCTGCGGTGATATTGCCAGGGCTAGATTTGCCTTTTTTTTTT